CTCCTGGATAATATTTAATTTTAAGTTTTCAAGACCCTCCTGGATAATAGGATTTAACTTTAATTTTTCAGGACTCTCTTGGATAATGGGAGTTTTATGCTTTTAAGACCTTCGTGGATAATGAGATTTAGTTTAAGTTGCCAGGACCCTCCTAGATAATGGGATATATTTTCAAGTTTTCAGGACCCTCCTAGATAATGGGGTTTAGGTTAAGTTGTCAGGACCCTCATGGATAATGGGATATGGTTTCAAGTTTTCAAGACCCTCCTGAATAATGGGATTTAGCTTAAGTTATTAGGACCCTCCTGGATAATGGGATGTAGTTTAATCTTTCAGGACCCTCCTGGATAATAAGATTTAATTTTTAAATTGTCAGGACCTTCCTGGATAATGGGATTTAGTTTCAAGTTGTCAGAACCCTCCAAAATAATGAGATTCAACTAACATTCATGAATGCTACTGATCCAAATTGGGGCAGAAAAGTTTCTTTTGTTTTATCTACTTGCTGTAGTATCAGACGCCCACCTGAAGAACGAGGGAAGTTATTTCAGAATTCCTTTCAAGTTTGAAGTCAGCATCAGGTGCCCACCTGAAGAACTAGGAAAGTTATTTTAGAATTCAATTCAAGTTAGAAGTCTCAATCCAGAATCAAAAAAAAAAAAAAAAAAAAAAAAAAAAAAAAAAAAAAAAAAGACTGAGTCCAAAATCCAGAAGTAGATGAAAATATGAATTGCTCAAGACATGGTTGAAGCCGTGAGCGCTGCATGTTCGGTCTTGATCCAAAGAAACCAGAGAAGAATGACCTAGCACCTGCAGCTAGCAAGCGTCAAGGCGTAAATCTAAAGTCTGCATGAAGAACCATTAAAAACTCAAGATCAAGCTTCAGAAGACTTATAGATACAAATCTTGTAACTCATAGATGATAGGCTTAGTAAGTTCTTTTAGATTTTGACTTTGATGCAATAACAGGACCGCGGACCGGAACCTCGACGGAACGGCACCTCACTCGACTCTTCAATTTATCCTTCTATTATTTTTCAGAACTACACTGGCCTGATTTCTTTTTAGCCAAGGATATGTAGGCAACCTCAGAGGCAAGGTTCGGTCAGACTTTTTCTAAGTGCTTCCCATGGAGTATCCAAACGGGCAAAAATCGCTCGTATTCGCTCACTTTATCTTTGCCCGAAAACTCTTCATGTTTTCAAGCAAAGAGGGGCAGCTGTGAGCACGTGATTTTTGCCGACGCAAAATATTCCTACAAATTCAAAATAAGTTTTTTTCCAATTATTTTAATTTTTATAGAATTTTTAGGATTCTTTGTTAATTGTTGCTTGCATTTAGTTGCATATTAACATTTTAAAATCATGAGAAAAATACCAAATGTCTAAAATATTTCATGCATAGCATTTTAAGTTTTAGTTTCATTTAGAATTTAATTGCATAAGTTTATTGTATTATTAAACAAAAATAAAAAAATATTGGTCGTTTTAATATTTTTAGATTTTTAGTAATTTCCTTTCATTAGCTTTAAGTTAATTAATTATTCTTATATTAAAAATAAACAATTAATATAATTCTACAAATTAGACTTTATTTGAGCATTTTTAATTAAATTTAGTAAAGCTAAAAATTAAGAAAAGAGAAGGAAAGGGAGCCCAATTATTAAGCCCATCCTACTTGGCCCAATTCCGGATAGCCTTTAGCCCAAGACCCCCTATTTTAAATTCCATATTGGGCCAGCCGTTTATCCCGTGACCCGTATTCCCAAACCCGCCCTACTCCCCTTAAATCTGAGCCCTTCGATCCACCCCATCCAATGGACACAATTAAATCTTACCCCCATACAAAAGACCACTTATAAATCCCAAACCCTAAAAACCTAACCCTAATTTCCCTAACCCAAACGGTGCCCTCAATCCCTCCTCTGCCTCTCTGCCGCAAACAACCACCCAAACCGCTAGAAAATCCCCCCCCCCCC